CGAGTCCTTTAAATGATAATGCTGTTATTAAGACTCTGCCGCAGTGATGTGTTAAGATATTCTTGTGTACAGGATGAGGAGCCTTGAGAACAACTTTCTCATCCTTTTTTTTTTTTTTTTTTTTGTGGTTTTGTTCGTGTTGTTTTTTTTATGCACATGTGAATTCACACATTACCTAGAAGCCATGCCCAGTACATGCCCTTCCGCTGTGACCTTGCACTTATTCTTGTAGCAGAAGCATCAGCCTGGGAAAGTTAGTGTTCCCCTTTACCGCACAGAAAAGGGTAGAGATGAGTAGCCATGGTTTGTCTTGAACTAGAGACGTGCTTCACGTGTGATGGGGAAGTGAGAAGTCCACTCTCACAAACCGTGGGCACCGTTGACTTTCTGTATTACAAGGACAGTTGCTCAACAGTTAGAACTTTTAATATATTTTTTTATTTGATTGGATTTATTCTTTTGCAGCTGTGTTGCAGCAGCATTTGTAAACAACTCTAATAATACTTGTTTTTCTTTTTGTTTTGTTTTTTCTTAATCAATTCTTTTTAATTTGACAAATCAAAGAATTAGTTTTTCGGAAAATTGAGCCCTTGAATTTGCAGGAGCAGCCTGTGCTGCATTGGTGCACAAAGTCCGTGAGATAAACAACATTCTCACTTATTAATAGTACCATCATTATAAGAAATGTGTGCTTACTGTACACAAGGGTGTGTCCATCTTTTACAATAGCAAGTTCCAAAAAAGCAACCGTGTGCATGTTTAAGCTTCACTGCATCAGTGAGCTGTACTGAAAAAGGTGTTAACCACATTTTTTGAATCAATGTGGCTTTCCCCTGGGTAACTACTCTGCTTGCATGAAGCTGTTGGCTTCCTGTGAATATTTAGTGGCAAAGTATTATGCGTTAGCCTTTAAAGTGTGAGTTCAATTTCCCAAGGGGGGTATCGGTGAGAAATATCTCTAATGAAGATGCTAACAGCAGCATTTTCTGTCATGTTGGGTTTTTTTTATATATATTATCTTATTTAAATGTCCTTCCTTCTCTGATAGGTTTGAGTCCATCAGAGCTGCTCCAGAGCGTTGGCTCCACAGCAGATGGTGCAGACTCTTTCTTTACGACACAGTCGAGTAAAACATCCAAAGATTATCCTATGGGTTTTGCAAATTTTGCATCTGTAAGTGTAGTGTACTTGCTGTAGAGTATATTTGCCTGCACAAGCTGCTGATCTCATCTCGATCTTTAGATTGCTGTGTTCAAGCCACAGAGGTGTCAGCTCTGTGTCATTGGGCCTCATTCTGTTAACGCCCCAAAAGCAGTGTGTTCAGAAGGCACTCAAAGAACTTTTGTGTTTACTGGCTGTTAACTAACAACTGACAGAACATGTGAGAGCTTTTCAACTGCTTGGTTTAGAAGGAAAGTAAATGATTGCATGACTGAGTTGGACAGTCCCTCTGCTAGTCTCTGTCGAGTTATAGATTGGCTCTGTGCACCTGGTAAAGGGGCTTGCATGCTTGCTGTCATCTTTGCCTTTTCCTTTGAGAGGAAGCGAGGATTTATAAACTCATAGTTGGCGAGTTCATGAACTTGCCTGGTCAGGTATCACTTGAGGAGCATTTTTCAAGTCTCGAAGTGCAAGCTAAAGGCTTATTCGCTGTCAAAGCATGATATGCCTCAAAGCAGAGAACAACAGAGTAAATCTCCCTCTTTATGTCCCACCTTCCGCTTATTTGCCATCTTGTATAGCCTAACGGCTGACTGTGCTCTCATGTGGAGAGGTGATGCATGGCAGCTTTTTGTGTCTGGTTTGTATCACTTGACATGATATGTATTTATTTTATCCCTCATCCCAGCATGACTGTTGTGAAAGGGATTTGTGGTTTTTATATCGAGCTCTGTGTTGTAATTTTTGTTTTTCTGCCAGGATCTGAACATGTTAAGGTAAGACTGTATAAAGGTGTGCTTTTCGATTCTTTGCATGTGAAAAACCTGTCGGCAAAGCATAATCTAAGTAAAGCGATTCTCGAGCATAATTATTTTCCTCCATTCCTGCATCCAAACACAGAATTTGGGAAATGTGACCATTGATTTGTTGTAGTGGAGCAGCACCTTCTTTGCTGTCTTGTGTGATGTAAAAGTGAAATCTAATTGTCTTTAATTTGCATTCAATTTTTGATTAGTATTTTTCTATGTATCAGATCATTTAGCTAAATAATGCAGTTTCTTGAGAATCAGCCCAACTAGAAACGCTTGATTTTTATTTATTTATTTTAAATTTTTTGCATATTTCTTCCTGTGTTTCGTCTGTTGTGTCTTATACGACTACATTCCTGCTTTTTATTGCGCACATCTAATGTTTGTGTCTCTGCTCCAGTTTGGAAGTGAGAGCGAGCAGCTGGAGTGGGCCAAGCGTGAGAGCGAGCATGAGGAACGGGAGAGGTTGAGGAGGCTGCAGCTCCAGGAGCAGAAGGACCTGGAGCTGGCCATCGCTCTCAGCAAGACCACCATGCCGAACACCTGAGCAGGCGTGCTCCAGCACAACTTTCTGTCCCCTTCACTTTTCCTTACAGCCCGCCATCTACAGGCTCGTGACAACAGTACCATCATTGGCCCGACATGACTAGCACCCCCTGTTACCAACTTGTGCAAGAGCCCAGTGTTTCTGCAGCTATGACTGTACTTGTGTTCAAATGACTCCACATTTAGCTACTAGTTAAGGTTCATTGCTCCCAAACTATGTGGAAACTATAATCAGGGACAATATGGAGGCACTTGATTTAAGCCTTGCTTCATCCTCCAAGAACATGGATTTAACGCAAGCCAAACCGGCAGGGTACTCGACTACTACAACCTATATCTAACTCCATATCTGGTTATGGCTAATCAGCCTTACCTTATCCAAATTTGTGGGGGCTTTTTTTGAAGGTAAAATAACATTTTAAAAATATTTTTGTTTTATTTAGAAACGAAAGCAGCTAATTTGTCATGTATGAAGTGAGATACATCCTAAAACTGTTTTTATATCGCTCAGAAAAATCACAATGAAAGTCGAAACATTTGCTCTGCTGACATTCAATTGACTTTTTTCAAATTTATTTTGTTTTGTTTTTATTTTGTTTTATTTCATTTTTTAGGAAACCTCTTCTTTTAGTGTATATAGTTATACGGTTTTATTTTGAGCTCAACCAAATAAAAGACGGGGGAAAAAAACTCCATTCCTGTCTTAAACAAGTTATGAGATCATCAGTAGCATGATTTAGATTCTCATTTTAAATGCTACTGGTGTTTCTGGGCATTTATGCTTTCATAGCTAATATTTATATAAGTAAAGTGCATGAATTAAAAGAGTACTGGAATATATTGGAAATCCTAAAGATGCTAATGATAATCATTACGGTCTTCCTTTCCTGTGAACCCAGCTCTGTCCACTTGGAGCGCTCTTCCTCTGCGAACAGCTTGTTTGTCAGATAGATCATCATTGGTTGCATTGTTGTAACACCCAAATAGCTCCCTGCAACTAATGCCTCTATTAAATGGAGGAAGTGTAAACCTCTCTTGTTTATACTGGTGCTGTTACACCTTTTTACTACTTCTGCTATTCAGCCAAATCGACCTTTTGGATATTTATTATTTTTCATATGGATTTGTGTTATCACTGTCTAGTAATCTAGTGGGAGGACTTTTCTGCAAATGGCCTGAATTATTGCATCCTTGTAATCATACAAAACACTAATCAGGTTTATGTGGCACATAATGTATGCACCGTTATTTGGACATGCACAGAGTGACGGCGCCTTATTTTTCAACACGTTAACACTGTAATGTGCTATTGCTGCACATTATGTATATAATTTTGAGGTAAAGGTTTGAGTTGCTCAAAACTGTAAGGACTTTTAATTGAATAAAAGTGATTTTTAACACCAAGCACAGAGAGAGGTAGGTCTGATTTCTTAAATATTTCCACAACAGCATAAAAAGAAGTGAGTCAGGTGTAATTGCAAAATTAATGTTTCAATGGTAAACAGAGAATGAATATACAGCAAGTGGCCTTGAGAAACAGGTGCTGAGCACTGCATAGACTTGTTATGAAGGGGGGGGTGGTAGTTTAATTGTTCTTGTGATGCTTCTTTCTAAATCTAGTTCTTGAAGTAAAACTAGAGTGACTCGAACATTGATTGTTTTTATGTCTTAGAGGTCTGGTTTGATATTGGAACACAAAAAAGTGAAATGAGAACGACATATTTGCATGTACTGGGTAGATATTTTTGGCCCAGTGTGTACTTCCTCTTTTTTCGTTTTAAAATATGATAAATTTCAGTGTGTTGATAAACGCATTTGAACTCTCTTTGCATTTGCGTTTTATTGCTGCAGGTGAATTTACTATACAAAGTAACTGAGTTACACTGATTCAATTAAAACTGTTTTATTAAGTTTTTTAAAAGACTACGCTTTTTAGAAAATGCCATCTGGCTTTTATATATGCACTCAATGCACTCTTTGATGCGGGCAAAACGACTGCTCACTGACACTATGCAGCCATAATGTGCACGGACTTGGATACTTTGAAACTGTAGTGCAGAGTGACTGTGTGTAATTGTAGTATTAAGGCTCTTTGATGTCCTACTATAATTTCTACCCATCAGAAAGGGAGTCTAAGGGCTCCCTGATGAGGGTTTGCTGTGCCCCTCTGTCCAGACGGCTCCTGGCTCACTCTGTAATTATGGAAATGGAGTGTTTGTATTTATAGGCTAAGCCCACAAGCGGCTGCCCTTCTCTGTCTTGCAGCTGCAAAACATCACAGTGGAAATCAAGTGCTCGTGTTTTAAAATTCGATGTACAATTTAGAAGAACTGATGTGACAGTCCGCAGGTCTACTGCACCTTTTTACCAGCAGTTATGAGTTATGTTGAGTGGCTGGATGTATCCAATAAAAAAGAAATGTGTGAACAAGTGTAAGGAATGAGTAAGCACGCAAGCGAAGTAAAGACTTCTCAAGCCAAACAATTCAGTTCCATTTTTTTTAATATTTACAATAAATACATGATTTACAGTATAAAATCCAGGTACTTTTTTTTAATATAAATTTAAGTAAAAAATAAAGCACAGGACGTCAAGCCCTGATAGTGTACAGAGGGGCTGGAACCAAGAGTTTCACACTGAGATGGACAAAAAGCATTTAAAAAAAACAACAAAAAACAGTATAGGCCATTCAGACATTGAGGCAGTTTAAATAAAACATTGTCTTTTGTCTTTGCACATATTAGGCAACTGTATGTGCATTGCATTCCTATCAGCGAGAACATGTACTGCTTTTTTGGCCATGTCTTCTTTCACAAAGAGGTTTTTTTTTTTTTTGTTTTGTTTTTTTATACAGTAGCACAACACAGAAAGGCACTTTTGTGTCAAACACAGCATTCCAGTTCTGTCAAAGGAGAGTAGTATATACAGGGCCAGCCCCTTCTTGGTCTGCCTGCTCTAAAGCAAACAAAGCTTTTCTAAAGCTTAAACAACCAAAGTAGTACCAGCTACGTTATTAAACAATAACACTAAACATTTTTTGAATTCAATATCATAATATGCGTCTTTGGTCATGTGAGGAATATTTTAAATAAAAAATACAGTTGAAATCGTAATAATAATAACCCCCCCCCCCAATCGCCCCGAGTCCTTATGTGGGTTACTTCACATGTGTCTCTTCATATGAAGGGCCAGGTGGTCAGACCTTGAAAAGGCGCGCTCACACAGGTGGCACTGGAAGGGTCTGTGTCCGGTGTGTTTGCGGAAATGACGGGTAAGCTCGTCGGAGCGGGCGAATTTCCATCCACAGCCTTCCCAGCTGCAGTGGTACGGCTTCTCACCTGCGTGAAAAAAATTTGAAAAAAAGTTTATTAGGCTGTGCTGAAACGGCATTTTGTTTTAATCAATGCGCTGCTCTGTGCGTAACTGCGCACTTAAAAAAGATCATAGCATACTTCAGCTCAAACTTACCGGTGTGAGTGCGGAGATGTGCCTTCAGGTGCGAGCTCTTTGTGTAGGTTTTTCCGCAGCCTGCAAACGTGCAGGTATGCGTGGCTGTGCGCTTCCGTGGCCACGTGCGCCTGCCTCTTTTGGGTTTGGACTCCAGCAGTTCGAGGGGAGATGAGGGTGGAGTAAGCATCACCCTCTGTGCGCCCGGCTGCAGGCTGAGAGCTTCATCATACATGCCAAAACCAGCATGTGGAGCGTGGTAGGCCATCTGCATCTGTGGCGCCTGAGGGTGGTGCTGGAAAGCCACAGTTGTGTGATATTTCTGCTGAAAGTTCATGGGCTGGCATAACTGTCCCTGACAGTCCGAAACTCCCTGGTCATTGGGACTCAGCGGCGGAGTCATGTTGCTGGCCGCTCGGGGAGAGATGGCCACTCTTGGCTGCTCAAAGGACATCATGCACGAAACGTTGCCTTCTTGCTTGATTTTGCTGCAGCTCTGGGGCACCATGCCCATTACGGGACCATAACTGTCCATTGGTGGCTCTACTTTGATGTTCTCCGGGCGGGGGAAATGCGCCGTGCTGGCATAAAATCTTCCCTGAATGCTGGGGTTGCGCGTAATGCCATAGCTGTCTGTTCCTTCGGAGCGGAGTTGTTCTGTCATGAGGCTGGCGCCGTACGGGGGCGGTGGGGAGCGATGGTCGTCTGCTGGGAACGATGGCATAGAGTTTCCAGTCGTGTACATGTTGGGGTCGGCGGTGCCCAGATAGTCCATCGCGCTGTCTGAGCCAGTTGTATTGGCGAGAATAAAATCCAGATCCAAATAGTTACTCAGATCCTCGTCTTCCTTTTTGTTTTGATTGTCCAGGTTTTGTACCATTTCAAGCATGGACCAGCTCGAAGAGACCAGTTTGTCCATCTCTCCCTTCCATCTCTGCAGGAATGAGGAGAAAAAAGCAGATGAGAAACAAGCGACTGCAAAGTTTTTTTAGAACCAAAATATCTATTTTTTCGAAGCAAATAAATTATTCTTACATGATATTTATATTATTACAAGCAGAATCAAAATCACGGATATTTAAAAAAACAAACACACACAAAACACAAACACACAATTGCGTGACATTGTTTCAAACTTACATTTTCCCAGGGTTTTTCTCTTTGGTTTGAGAAAGTCGAAAATGACGGTAGCATCACTCCGGATAAGGCCATCGTTGGGTAAAGTAATATAAGTTTCTCTTGTCAAAATCGTGCTGTGTTGAGCGGCAGCCGCGCAGGGGTCTGTGCGCCTATTTCACTGTCGCTTCTCCACAGTTTCACATCAAATACATGAACAAGTTTAAAAGTGGTAGGAGGTCCTCCGAACCTTATAACCCTATTCCGAGCGCGCCTGGCCAATTGTGAGAGCTCAGGAAACAACGTAAAGTTTGGTAAATTTAGCGCTTTATAAAGCAGCTCGTGCAGACTCACAGCTCACTTGTGTGTGACAGGCAGAGCGGCTCGCACCAAGCCTCTTTGAAAAGGGCGGGCCCTAGCTCGGCCCCTCCCACATTGTGACGCAAGATATTTGAAGTTTGTTTTTTAAATGATAAACACACTGTATAGCAACCATATATACTTACGTAATAATCTAAAAAGAACAAGTACAGTGACAGAAACTGCTGGAGGCAAAGCCGCACCAGCAACTTAAAAATAAAGACTGTCAGTACTCGAGTTAATCACCAGGACACAAAGGAGATGTGGCTTTTCTGATGAACAGTAATAAAAATATAATTAGATTGGGATTAGCGGGTTCAGCTCTGGAAAGAAACTGAAAAATTTGCCACGAAATAAAAAATATATGCTGGATGTGGCATGCATTATTAATTATTATATATTTATTATTTTCTGATCTCGATGCCTCTCTAAGCCTCTTTTTCTTTCACACTTCCTCACGCACTGGTCCAAGAGCCTCCATTAAAGGGGTTTCTATTTAAATAAACACGTTTTTGTTAAACTTATAAGAGCTCGGTAAAGATACGCGCAGTGTAGGTGTCTGTACCGGCTCATTATCATTAATGGTAGATGCTTTTTGTTCTCTCACAACGGGCCTGTCTAAACAGGCGCCAGGGTCGTCTGAAACCCCCCCCCCCCCCTTTTTTTTTTTTTTTTTTTTTGAGGGGGGTATTATTACGCTTTAACCATCCTGATATAAACGTCATTTAAGCTAACGTCCCGTTCACATGTAAATGGCATAATTGGGGCTACTGGTTTCGATTGGGTTCACATTTGCATCACAAATCAGCGTTAGTGTTTGTTGCTGCTTCGACCGAGAGATTTGAGGAAAGGGGGATTGTTTTCTGGAGGAATCCGAGGAAGTCGTCTGGCTCCAGAGGTCATGAAGACAGGCTTTCTGCAGGGTACGACTCCGCACTTTTTTGTGCCACTTTTTCCCAAAGTGTGATGGAATTAGAAAGATTGGTGCCTAAACTTTATTCCTTGGATCCAATTCAACATAGAATAGTGCAATGAAAGAAGAGATTGTTTTAAGAAGCACGTGTTTTATTAAATGTCACACTGAAGCACGATTAGTGGAGGCAATTGGGGATGAGTAATGATTTAGATTACCTGTAAGCAGCCATTTATCTGCACGTGAAGCTGATGTTAAGCTAGTTTTTTTGTAAGTTTAATGTAGACTTGTTATTTCAGGAGGAATGCTTCCCTCTAAAATGCAGCACAGAATAAGTCAAAAGAAACCTATGCAACTCCAAGATAGGAACCTGAAGTACACACTATATTTTAGGTACTCTCCAGCTGTACTTTATGTAGGATTTAACCTGAAACCCCAAGAGAGACACACACCTCATCCTCAACCTCAGCAGGTTAAAAAAGCGCAAAAGTACTTAGTGTGCCAATGACCTGATCCAAGTCAGCTTCTAATGACAGATACACCACCTCTCATCAAGCTGTCATGTCCACCACCTTCACCAGTAAACTTTCAGCTGTGAGGTTTCCACATCCTGAGCCCTGTCAGCTCTGTGTGTTCAGTGGAAAGTGCGTCACACAGAAGAAGTCCAGTAAGGCCAGAGAGGAAATGTGTTTTTAGAGGCAGCGCAGCAGCCGGCCTGATGTCTGAACCCATGACCGCTGTTGTTGACCCTTGCTCTGCGCCGCTAGCCTTTTTTTGCTTTGCTACTAGTGAGAGTGAGAGCAATCTCACTTCCTCTCTTACTCAGCTACCTTTACTGCCCTGTAATGCCTGATAGATTACATTTAGGCAATTACCAAAGAACTCAAGGTTTTTTAGAGACATTGCTTAAAATCTTCTTGCACCACTATGTTTAAATTCAGAAACCTTATGCAAGATTTGTCGCTCTGCGAAAGCCCACATATGAAAAAACCCCCCAACAGGCTGTCTCAACAGTATATTACACCAGTGCCATTTGAACTTTAGCATTTTACTACATGTTTTTGTCTCACTTAAAGGGAGCGCTATTAATATTTGCCTTCTTTCAAAGAGAAAGATTGGATCTCACTTGTTTAACTTGTAAAAACAAAGAGGCTAAATATTTGTGTTTTTATGGCATTTTTGTGGCCTATTATTTACTGGTCTGTTGCAGTGACTTCGACATACTTTATATATGTCTCATAAATGTCAACAGATTCCTTTCAGGACACTTGAACAGGGGGAGCCTGGGATGAAACATCAGGTTTTTCTACCCACTGAGCCACAGCTGCTGATTTTATGTTTATACAAGCTCTTGCTCAAGGTTTGTATTTATAAAAAAAAAGAAGGTGAAAACGACAAGAAGGTTAATTTGGCTCGTTTAATTATCTGTAAATAGCCCTGAATTTGTAATGTATCTATTAAATAACCTCTACCTGAAGCCTTTTACAGACTTACTGATTCTCACAGTGCACATTTGAGATACTTTGTTTCAACTAACACCGCTTAATAGGAAATCTTTGACTCAACGATGCTGCACCTGGCAGATTCAAAACCAAGCCAAACATGACCGAAACGTTTATACGCGAGCAGCCCATACCCACGTTAAACTTCACTCAGCGTGCACTGGTCTGTGAAGCAGAGCAAATTGATGTGAAAGGCAACAAAAGTAGTTGGCATGTCTTGTGGGAATACTTGGTACAACATTTAGGAGACGGGTTTGTATTTCGTTCTGAGCTGTCACTTCCTGTGGAGAAGTGTGCATACCCGAGGAGAGAATTTCATTTGAGCGCACCAGGCATATACTCATGCTGGACATACGATGGGCGGGACACTCTTATGACTGCAGCAGCCCACGTAAAAACATCTCTCAGGTTGCACTCAAAGATTTGTAACAAGTTCATAAAGAACTGGTACTCAGTTGATCCCTGTGGGGAAAATTGCCCCCACGTGCTTTCCACTCTACAGAGGTCAGAAGTAAAAAAGGAAAAACAGGACAAATATCTTGGTTTCAGTGCACTTGTCAGTAAAAGCGCCGTCTCTCTTGGAGTCAAAGACTGCACTTTCAGCTCTTACTGCAGAAGAGGAACCACTAAAGTCATCATATGGCAGGATTAAGTATAGATTAGTACAATTTCCAGCGAAGCCTCTTTCCCTGAACTGAAATTTACACAATCGTTTTACAATTGGGCAACAATGTAATTTCACAATTGTTCGAACTATTACTGTTGCTGTCTTATCTGTGCTGTGAGGTGATCAACTTATCAACAGGCTGTCATGTTGCTCAGGAGTAATGAAGCTGCTGACATGTTGTTGCATTAACAGCAGCAGTCGTTCTGTAAAATCTATTCTTTTCTCTTAAGAAAAACTTTCCCACGTAGGACTGTGACAATACTGTTGAGAATTTTAAGCATCCTCTTTTGTTTTTGTCCAACATGCTTTTCAGGACTTGGTGTAAAATAAAGACGAGCTATTTCTAAAGAGAACCTCCCATCCCCGTGCAGCCAAAAATGGAGAGATCAAACAAACTACAAAGTGCAGTTTCACAGAGAGAAAGCACAAAAGAAGAACGAGACAATGCTGTTCTGCGAGAACATGCTCGACCTCAGCAGAATAATACTGTACACATCATGTCCGCGTCCAGTATTTCTTTGAGTGTGGAAAGGCAGATAACTTTACGGGTTTCCCAAAATGCCAAGTTTCTGACAGAATACAAATGGGAATGTTAAAAACACCAAGCATGAGGTTTATTAGCTCATCACGCTGATGTATGCTTCATGTTCTCCATGATGAAGCTTCATGTTGTCACTGCCGAAATTGTTTTGGGCTGTTTAACTTAGTGACATGAGCACAGCCGTGCATAGTGTTTATGTCACGTCTGCAAGTGCTTCATCACCCGCACTGAGGATTTGCCTTACTGCATTAACTTTCATGGAAAAACAGTGTGTAAGTGTGAGAGAGCGGACTTGGCGGGCCCGCTCCGACATCCCGACTGGGCGAGAGGCAGCGAGAGTTTGAGAGTGAGTTGGATCCTGCTCTGTGCTTATATACCTCGGTTATTTTTAACCACCCACCCCCTTGCTTATTACAGCGTTTCCCCCCTCCGAACACTCAGGAAGCACGTTTGGCTCCTTTTCCTGCTCACATGCGGCCAGATTCAAACAGAATCAAAGAATGATAGCATTGAGGCTCGCCGTCCCCTCTGCTGGAAAAAAAATGTAGGGGGATGTGGACAAGGTGGGGGGATGGGGGTTTCGGGGGGGGAATGTTAAGCAGAAAAGGTTGGCACACGCCAGTGGCATGACATTCTCAGAGCTGGCTCCGATCCTACACTAATTTCAGACACCGTCAAACATTTGTTAGAAAAGTCAGCCCAGAGACAGTCCTGGAGACTTTCTGTAGCTGCTGGGGGCCTTCAACAAGGTTGCTTTGTTGAATTAGCTTAACTAAAGTGCAGCTGAATTTCACAGCGACACTTGACTGTCACCATTCAGAGCTGTCTGTACCTTTGTAGATCATTTTCATTTCTTCCTTTTAACAATGTGTTGCATGACATTGCCTAAGTGTTATATTGTTAAGTAACTGAGTTGATACTAAAGATGAAAGATTATTGAGAGACCAGTTCAACTCTTGACCTTTACAACATGCTCTTTTGTTGTTTTGTTTTTTAAAGTGGTTCACTAGTGAAGACTTTAAAAAAAAACAACCCTTAATGAATATTAATTGCATTCAGTTGTACACCTACAAACAGAGAAAACCAGTTAAACCAACCAAAGCCGATCAAGACAGCCTGAATGAATAATGGGATCCAGAGCAGGATTAGTCGCATTCGACCGCATTAGCGCGATGTCGGTTCATTTAATAAACTGCCGTGTCAGTTACAATGTTGAAAACTTGTAGACAAAGGTGCAATAAGCTCCTCTTTTTGTTCTCGGCTCTATCTGGCTAATAAACCTGTTTGTCGTCTCTGCTCACAGAGAAACAAAGACCACATGCTGGCCCCTGCTGCGCTCCACAGCACCTCTGCATTAAAACAGCCAGCGTTTGGCTTCCACAGAGCCCAAACATGTGTCCCAACAACCAGTGC